AAATGTTATATTAAATACCCTGCCATTAAAAAAATTAATTTTGACCATTAATTAATTTAAAAATGGTAGAAAATGGCCTAAAAATGGCAGGAAATGATTGTGTAATTTTATGAGTCATTTTCTATAATTTTTAGGCCCTTTTTTGTAATTTTTTGTCAAATAACAGTCAAAATTAACTTTTTTAACAGCAACGTGTTCAATGCAATATTTTCAAATATTGAAAAACAAAATTGCACCACATGTAAGTATACGATATCAGACGTTCTTGAGCGAATAATTAAAAAAAACCTTATAATTAAAAAGTACACTAGGTTGGGTAGTTGGATTAACTAATAAGAGGTTTACTAGTTGATCCAATTTAATCAAAGTTCTCGAGTTCAAGCCTTAGATATATAGTAACAACCAAAGAGCTGCCTGCAAGCTACCAATTAGATTAGCAGGGGTCAAGGACTTAGGATATCGAAACTCGTGATAAACAACACACATGTTTAATTAGCCAATACAAGTCATCATGGATTTTAGATATGGAGAATGGCAGTGAAAGCCTCCAGACGAGGAAAAAATAGTGATGATCCTTAACAATTGAAGGTTTATCTATGCACAAGTGACTAGACTTGTGCATAGATAAAAATGTTCAATTTGATCTAAAATATATATAGAACAAATGCGTCTTAGTTAATTTATTTTTTCAATTTCAATATTGCCACTTCTTAATTGCACAAAGTTATTGGTAAACTTTTAAATTCCAGACACATTTTATTGTGGTTGTTAATTTTAGTGAAAGATAAAATTGAAAAGTTGTACATTTTTTTTTCCAAATTTAAGAATAGACTCATCCTTTGAGAATTATGGAGTTAGCTAAATTTGTCCTGTAATTAAGACAAGAGCGAGTGTAATTTTAGGGAGATTTTTCGATAAGGTAGATATATATCTCAAAAAGTAAAAATAAGTCTCTTAACTCTTTTGGTCCCTTTGGTACGAAGAATCATAAGAAATATAATGGGATATTGTGAGAGAATGTAGTGCAAAATAATTATTTTACTGCTATTTTGTTAGGTAATTTATTAAATAAAGAAAATGCAAAGGGATAGAAAAAATGTTTGATTTGGTTTCTTTTTTTTTTTTTGAGATAATGAAAATTGTAATCTATCAAGTTTGTGTGAATTATTAATTTAGTCTCTCAAATTTAATTTTTGTCAAGTTAGTCCCTTGCATTTTATTAAATTATCACATTAGTCTTTTAATTTTTTAAATACAAATTGAATTTCTAATTAATCTAATGTGTAAATTATATTGACAACTTGACATGTGTATTTAACTAAATGAAAATAAATTAACCTTTAAATTAGTTTAATTTTTATCAACTTAGTCCATTATGTTATGTTTTGTTCTTTTGTTCTTTAAAATTTTTGAGTTATTTTTTATACAAATAATTATACTTCTTTTCATTAATTTATATGATTGATATCAATATTCCATTATCCATGTCATCAGATTTTAACAAAGTTACCTCCTTTTTAAATAATAGGGATTAAAATGATAATTGAAAAAATTTAAATGACCAAATCAATAGTTGAGATAAATTTGAGGGATTAAAAGTTTTGTTGTTCCTTATTATTATTGATAGAAGTTTGGTTTGGTTATGATGGGAAGAGATTGGATTAATAAACAAAAAAGTTTTTCACGTATCTTCAAGAGAAATAAATTTAGAAATACATTGAAGAATTTTGAAAATTAATGAAGACTCTTAGAAAGGTGAAAAATAATTGAAATTATTTGAATAAATTTTTCTTGAAGATATAATGAAGATATTTGAACTTTGAATGTTATTCAAGATTCTTCAAGAAAATTGAAAATTCACGAAAATTACTGAAGACTTTTAAAGATTAATGAGAACTCTTGAGAAAAAATTGAAAACTTTTGACAATTACTGAAAACTTTTTAAAAAAATGATGGAATATATTTGAAACTATCAAAATTATTTTTCTTAAAGATAAGTTGATTTTCTTAAAGAAAGATAGAGATTATTAAAGATATTTTTGTACTATTTATAAATTACTTTCAGTACATTTCATTAGAATAAAAAAATTTTAAATTTCATTAACTTTGTCTAAAATTTTAATAAATTTCCAACTTTATCCTTATTACATTACACATTCTAAAAATAAAATACTCAAGCATTAAATAACCTTTATAGTATTTAATACGGACAAAAAAGTAAAAATAGACACAAAAAACATAGAGTTATTCTATAAATAGGACCAAAATAAATACTCCCCCTTACCATGTAGATGAAACTAGAGGAGTATGTTGGGAAAAAAATACTTAAATGAAAAACTAAGGATGATGTGTCAAAATATGGAGAAGTGATTGATGGGAGTCCTATACTAATATATATTAAAAGACAAGGATGATATGTCCTAAGATAATCAACTGTGTATTTTTAATATAAAATACAATGTTGAATAAAAAAAATATGCCTATATTGTCATTCGAATGTTCCAAGAGTCTATGTATTTTCTAATTGTATTGAGGCAATTAATTTGCTTATCAAGAATGATGTTAGCCATCACCCTTTTAGAGACATCATTTAGCATGCCAGGGATTGTTTGAATCATTCTGGAATAGTATTTTTGAATGTTATATATAGAGAGGCAAATTACTGCCCTCTTACTTCCTGAAAATGCTTTAGATTATGTTGGTACTTTTTATACTTTTGATCAACCATTATCTTTTTGTCAAGAAGTGGTAAATGATGAAAAAAGTAAAGTCACGTTTGTTTATTAAAATATAATATAATATATTAAAAAAATAAAGATAAAAATAAATTAAATTAGCCTTCTTCCCATAATAAGCATAATAAAATTCATTAATATATACTATAAATATAGGAATTATTATACCCTTTAAAAATTTCATAAATTATGATTTTCAATCTCATAAAATAAATTACTCATCTCTCTTATGAATGTGCTCATCACTTATCCCTTTTAATCATGTTTTTACCTATTTTTTAATCTATTTAATTTTATTATATGTGGATTGAATCTAATTGATCAGTTTTCCTTCTCTTTGATTGGTAGATGTTCAATTCTTCTCTCTCATTGGCTGGACCACTATAGTCTAAGAGAAATTCTACATTCTCATTGGTACGGCATTATGTGTTCTACCCCTTCTTCTGTTTTTTCAAATGCAATAACAAAGCATTAACTTCCATCATCCATTATATTGGATGCTTTCTACCATTTTCCCATGCTTCTTTGTTGTCTTCATGGAAGCGTCAATAACCATATCAGCCCTCTCCATTTGTGACTTTTGTCTACTACACTTCATTATAGTTATTCAATACCTCATTTTTCGTTGCCCTCTAGTGCAATTGCTCTGTTTGAATTTTTAGTATAGAGACAGTTTGGTTCAATTATTTCTCCCTTCTAGTTTTACACCTCTCAGATTGTTCTCTTCAAGTGCAGTTCTCATTTCGGGGCTCCATATCTTTCAAAAGGTTTGATTCATACTTTCTTAAGTTTCTTCTTGTTGGAATTTATTTTTTTCTTCTTCCTCTTTTATTCATCTTTCATCTTTTCCATGATCTCTTCGTAACTTGCAGTGTGCATTATATCAGCGATGGAAAAAAGGATGGCTTTGTACATTTCAATGTCATTCGACTCCTTCAATTCCTCGACTCAGTCAGGTTCTTCCTTGCTTTCTTGCCTCGATGTTATTTTACTTGTGGACCTTACAATTGAAACTCTCATCCTAGCATTCACATCTACTCCCTCTCTTTTCGTCTTTGTTTTTCTCTACAAAACTCTTGTCTTTACAATGTTTTCTACTCTGCTTCTAGATTTAGAAAAGGTTCAAAATTGTAAGGAAATCAAGTATTTAAAGTAGACCCATCAATCGTTTTCTTCAATTACAAGTTCAGAGCCATGAGTTGAGTAAAACCCTGGATTTGTAACGCTTCATCTCTGTCAATGGCAAGATTCTACTCGCGACACCGCTAGGTGTGGCAGAATAAGGTATATGTATTTTTCAATTTATTTGATTTATGTATTGGGATTCAATTTATTTTTCCATTTTTGATTTATTTTAATCTACTATTTTCTTTCCACAGGAGCGTTAATAAATTATAGCATAGGAGCCTTAATAGTCTACCTTGTCTATGGAATTTTTTGCTAAGTGATTTGCTGTGGTAGGCCTATGCAATGAGGAGTCTTGAAGAGAGGAGGGAAAAAAAAAAAGTGCCATCAAGAATCCAAGAAGAGATGTCAGAACAGCTACAATTTTCTCTGATGTTACATCCTGCATTGTTGCTTCATTTTACTCAAAATTGCCTTTTTACCTGTGTTTGTTTTGATCCTATTGTGTTGGTTGTATTGATGGAAACTTCTTATTCCCTTATATCAAAATTTCAAAACATTGGATGTCAAAACATATTTCTCACGACCCTCTCATGTATGCACAAGAGTCAGTCTATACAATTTTAAAGAAAAAGATTTATGTGACAATTTTTTTTGACAATAAGCTATAAAAATTAATTCAAAAGAACAAATAGAATTATGTCGAATAAATTACAAATCCAAAAAATGAATCTTAATGTTCATTAATTTATTTAACAAAATGATACTATTAATTTTGTTTACATATTCTAGACGTACATACTTCACTCAATTTTGTAATGTCAAACCTCTAAAATACATGAGATCCAATCTAGTTTTATAAATAGATGTTTTCTGTATCTTTGTTGGATTAATGCAGCCTCTTATTATTAAAAAAATCAGAAAAATATTTTAGTAGTTTGTTATCCAAATTTAATTCTTTTGAAGGATGATATGCAATTTTAAAATTTTGATCATTTGCCCAAGTATTGTTGTTTTTTTTTTTTTTTTGAGCAAAGCCCAAGTATTGTTGTTATTGGGTCTTTTTGCACAAGTTTCCCGCAAAAAAAAAATACCATCACATTAAGCCGAGCCATGTTAGCCTGCATATCTGTCAATAATCATAATCGTTTTGTTTGGAAACCCTCCCTCGCCTCCTCGAATCCATCCAAACCCTCGCTTTTGAGCTAACTTCTAGCTTTCCTCCTCATTCTTCTACCTCTTCGAGAAGAAATTTGAGTCCTACGGTAATTTTTTTTTTGGCAGATTTTACTGTTTAAATGCAGTTTCAAGCGTCTGATTCGAGTATTTTTAGTGCCTAGTGGCGAAGTGTTTCTCAGATTGTGATTCTAATGTATAAACTATGCATTTTCAATTCGTAGATATAATGGATACGGAGGAGGAGAATAGAGAAGCTGAGAAGTCTAGAGTGAGAGTATTTGTCGGAGGCTTGGGCGAAGGCGTGACTTCTGATGATCTTCGGAGGTTGTTTGGGTCTTTGGGCGGTGTCGATGGAGTAGACATAATTAGAACCAAAGGTCGAAGCTTTGCTTATGTTGACTTCATACCCTCTCCCACTGACCAAAACACTCTTTCCAAGCTTTTCAGCAGGGTAATGATTCAAAACTGTTGTAAATGCCGCAGCTTATGCTTTATCATCTGTTAAATTTTTTCACTGTTATGTATTATTATTTTCTGCATTCTCTCGCAAGGACTTAATCAAAATCTCTCTTTTTTTTTCTATTTTATATATTTTCCTGGCTGAGTGTGTGCGTCGGTGTTTTGGGTTCGTTCTCATTTGTGAATGTGCTTTTTTTATACTGAAACATGGTATAACATATCACCAGCCCTTTTTCATTTTTCCTGGGCTGGGGGCTTTTTGTTTTTTTTTGGTGGAGGGGGGATGGTTTAAAATTTTACCCTATCCTGAGTTTTCCTTGACCAAACAATGTATATGTTTTATTAGTAATATGATTTGTAATCAAGATAATTTGCATGAATGAAAGATATAAGAAAGTTTGAGGAAGTGAATTGGAATAAGAGGTTATCTTTATCAGTGTTTGAAAAAGGTGAAAGCGGTGAATAGTAAATGGGGAATACATATGAAAAAAAATAAAATCTTGCGCAATTATATGAGCATGCCTACTTTATTAGTGTTTTGTACAATGGATATAATTAACATATGATGAAGCTTTTTTTTTTTTTTTTGTGGGGAAGTTGGATAAAGTGGTGCTTGGTTAACTAATGGAGAAATGGCATTCCAGGAATGCCTTGATAATATCTGGGGCATAATGAATGATTTCAGAAAATTCATGCATTGGATGCAATTAATGCCTGTCAAGAACAAGACATATAAGTTTTTTCACTTGAAGGATTTTGGCTTCACAAAATGTTATTAAGTTCCACTTAATGTAGATCAAAGGTTAAATTTCGTTTAGGAACTAGTGAGTCCTTCATAAATTCTTGAAATTAATGTAATATCAAGAAAGTAGATCTGGAACTCAGGATAATCATTGTTGAAGTTCATAATGCATTATTGTTCGTCTGGAAGACAAGAATATTGAAATGAGCATATCATAGAGGTACTGGTAATAATAAACTAGTCTAAAAGGCCTTTTGGGCATGCAGGTATGCAATAACTTAAGTTTTGACTGTTTTTAGAATAGATATCAAAATTCACTTTTGCTGTTATAGAGTTTGATTTTTGATTTTGTTATTATAGAGTTTAATAAGATTGAATTTCGTCTTCCTTTAAATCCTATTCTGGTCATTTCTCCTTGCTGTCAGTTTTTCTATCTCTCTATTCTTTGCTTCTCAGGAAACCATTTTTCTTGTGCTTATCAGGTTTGCAATGCTTTGGGTTTGTAACATCTTTATGTGGGATGCATGTGTTTTTGTGTTGATATATTTTTGTACATGCGTGGTTATTATACATTTTCCTTGCACACAGTATAATGGATGTCTCTGGAAGGGTGGAAAGCTAAAACTGGAGAAGGCTAAAGAACATTATCTTGTACGTTTGAAACGAGAGTGGGAAGAAGATGCTAAACTTGCTATTGATGAACATGGAACTAGTCCTCATCCTGATAAAAGCATTTCCTCCACAGAAATACTTAGCAAAGAGATCTTAAAGACAAAGAAGCTGAACATTTTCTTTCCCAAATTGAGAAAGGTGAGTTAAAAATTGTAAAACTTTCCTCATCTGGACTTCATAGAGTTCTTCATTTTCATTTTGAGCGATTGACAGGAGCTGCAATATAGACAGATCTCTGTTCTTTACCTCCCATACAGGTGTTACTTTGTGTATTTATACCAACAGCCGCAGTTCTTATTGTAAATCTTAAACTGAGCACAAAACTGCATCAGTTCATACCCAATGCAGGGTCAGGTGAATGGTATGACTACATATCTTAATGGGAGGGTCATGCCTGCTAAACTGTAGCGAGTCTTCATATGATAAATGTTATGTATTGAATGTAATTTGCCAGTCATTCTAAGAATTGTCATATCCTCCTCTCTGTATATTGAATGTAATTTCACCTACTTGTGCTTCTGCAGGTGAAATCCATACCATTCACTGGAACTGGCAAGCACAAATACAGTTTCCCTAAAGTTGAAATTCCTCCTCTTCCAGTGCATTTTTGTGATTGTGAGGAACATTCTAGTCCTTCTGGCACAATAAGACCAAAGCAATTTCATAACGGGGGAGCAGAAAGTGGTGGGATGAATGATGAAGAAATTAACATAATGAATGTTGTGATGAGCAAACTATTTGAAAGGGAAAAGATGCCAAGTCCCATGCATTTTGAAAAGGAGAAGAGCTCTAATGTATCACCTGGTGGTTTGCAATCTGATGAATCTGAAGCAGATAGTGCAACAGATGATGATGGCCTCATCATTAATATTGAGACAAAGAAAAAGAAAACAGCTATAAAAGGTAGCCAGGAACTTCAAAGAATATTGAGAGATCAGGTTAGGTTTTGTCTGGATGGTACTGTTAGTATTGCTGTTGTTGCATAATCGATATAGCTCTATTTTACCTAATTTCTATCTTTGATTTTCAGGAATCAGAATTGAGTGAAGGAGCAAGAATTTTAAAGGATGAAGCAAACAATAATAAGCTTGAAGTGCCGAAAAGCAGTAATATTGCTCCTGACAAGAAGAAAAAGCCTCATCACAATTCTGAAGGGAAAAGAAATGATAATACCTCTGTGACCCCTGGAGGCAAGAAACGTGTGCATTGGGATGAGTTGAGCTCACAGGTTCACCTCACTGAATTAGAAGATAATTGTAGGGAACCAGCTGAAGTTTCTTGGTCTCAGAAATCTTCATGGAGAGAACTTCTTGGTGATGGAGGCAGCAGTTCTTTCAGTGCCTCTCATATGCTGCTAGGCTCTAATTCTATTGAAAAAAAAGGATCTGATGGTTTATGTGAACCTGAATCAGGAAAGAATAAAACTGAGCACATTGTAATGGAGGGTGGCCTGGAACCTGCCAGGGCAGAAGAAATGGAAGTACTTGCTGAAACTCGGCCTACCACACAAGATGCTGCATCCAAACAGTCAGGCAGAGGCGTTGCATGGAAGCAAAAGCAATCTTGGACACAGCTGATTGGTCAGAATACCAATTCATTCAGCATATCTCAGATTTTGCCTGGAATCTCTTCTCAGAAGCCAGTGGCGAAAGAGCCATCTGAAGACCTTGCTGGTTCTGGTGACAGCAAACATATTGATTTGGGTAAGGAATCTGACAATGAAGCTGTTGGAGGCGGGTTGAATTTGGCGAAGAGTAACCCAGAAAAGGAGCATAATATGTTGGCTAAGCATTCTTTCATTGAGCCTGTTGGAGATGGGTTGAACATGACCAGGAGTACCCCAGAAAAGAGTCAACATGTTGCTGGCAATGATACTGCTCCTGCTCCAATGACTGAGGAAAAATGTGACGGACACACGAATGAAACATCCATTACAGAGGTTAAAATGGGTGAGACATGCTCATTTATGAGGAGCGCTGCTTCGTTGAAAGAGTGGGCGAAGACTAAAGCTGCTTGGAGTGGATCACTCAAAAGGAAACGCGGGGAGAAGAACGAGCATTAAGACCTTAACAGCTGAAATCATGACTGTGGTTGGGTTATGATGAGCATGACTTGGGTTAACATTCTTTATAATCATTTTGGGCATCTAACCAAATTTTTTCCCAGCGTCATTTGAGTTGAAGAATCCGGTGACTAATATATAAAAACTACAGAGCGGCCCCCCCCCCAAAAAAAAAAAAAAAAACAAAACAAAAACGAAGCAAGAAAGAAAAAAGAAGTGCTAGTCAAACATTTCCCGCGCTTTTTCATGGGTTGACTACGGGACATTGCAGTTTGTAACATGATATACTGTAATTTTTTATTTTTTAAGGGGAGCAGGATACATTAAACTATCATGTTGATCGCTAGAAGTTGTTGACGTCAATTTCGACTTGATAGATTAAAGTCATTGGAATCTTTTGGAGACAAATGGTTAACTGATGAACAACTGTGGTTTGATTTCGTTGAACGTCATCAACACACAATTAGCGAAAAACAGTATAACTCTTTTGAGAAATGTATTGGTGATGCTTCCGTTATTGTTGAGGGTTAGGATGTTTATTTATTTATTTATTTATTTTTGGCTCCTATGGGAAGACGGATCAAATAGGGATTACAAAAGGACAGGGTATCATCGTTATACGCAAAGTTTGCTGGCATAAGTAATTGAAGTCTCAAAATTGAGGTAGGAATTCAGTCAAATTTCAAGAAGAAGAATTTCAAGAATAATGAAAGAACGAATGTCTGAACAAGAGAGCAGAGAAACAGTCTTTCGTGGATGCTGGTTGAGTTAAACAAAAGGAAGCAAAATATAAATGCAATCATTCATTGAACATTAAACATTAAAAGCTTGGTGTTAACATTTTTAAAAACTGAATAAATGATAAAGTATAACGGTGTAGTGTTCATTGAATATTAAAAGGTTGCTTGTTCAAATTTATCAGACAACTAAGCTTGTGAAATTTGACCATAGCCCATGTAAATTGTTATTTATCGAGAAAGAAAGCTAAATTGTTTCGATATACAGGTATGATTTAACATATGATCTTTTGCACAAATCTCTGCACACCCATGGTACATGTAAACTATTGTAAAGTGACAATTGCTGATATTCACCCAGACAGTTAGTGAAAATTTCTGAACCCCTAACACTTGAATTCATTGAGTTCCAAACTCATCTCCTTGAGCACATTATGTAAAAGCGCACTGAACTAAAAATGTAGCCGTAAACTGTTAACAAAGAAAATTGTTACCAAAGCAGGAACGACTCAGAATGCGGATAGCAATCATAGAACACATTCTCATTGAAATTTCTAATAAAGATATACTAGAACTGCTAGCGTTTTCATTGAAAGTATTCCTAAAATCAAATTCAGTACACATGCAAGCCGCTAGGGTGTAGTTTAGTGACGAGTGGTGAGAAATAGTAAGCTACTTTTAAAGTTCAAAACTTCGCCCCTTCATGTGACAAAGAAGTTCGGTACAAGTTCAATGACTCAAGCACCCTGCGAGCATGGATCTGTAGAGCTGTTTTTGGCTCAGGATCCAGGGTTGACCCAAACTGACTTGCCGCCCAAATCAAGGAAGCTGATTTCTCTCCAAGCAGGTGCCTTATATCTTCATGTACTGATGCCAAAGGAGCCCTATCCCTTCCATTGACATGTCCAATGAGAAGCAGCAAAAACTCCCCACATTTCAACCTGTAGAATGAAATTTCCCCATTAATGCAACTTGAGTCATGCCAAAATGGTGGAAACCAAGCATGAAAAACAGGATGCTAAAATTATTTAGGAATAAGAATATCCAAAATAGAAGCTATTTTACACTTACGGACTCCTTCCAGGGCATACATATGCAAAAATCAGATTTCAAAGCTGACTCCCAATTTACAACAATCCATATGAACTCCTTCATATATTGTGGCAAAAAAAAAAAAGATATATAAAATAATGAAACTTAAAATCAACCATTCATAGGAAGTATGCATGGGCTTGAAATTTCCGTTTACAAAAGAAATACTTATGCGGAGACATAAAAGACAAAAACATAGTACATGTAGTCATTTCTACAAAGTTGAAAAAAGCATCACATATATAATATGTGTAGGAAAGTGAATCTGATATTTTCATCCAATATTATAGAAAAAAATCAACTGGAAGGTAAGCCAATTCAGAGTAACTGGAGTTATGAATTGCAGGGGGCCCAAATATGATCAACATGTGACTATTTTGCAAGTTGGATAATGAAGATCAAAAGTGGACGCCGTTCAAATGAGTGTGAATATGAGTGAGACTAGATGGACAAAGAACCATCAGTACCTGAGATTTTCATCTGCATTTTTGTCTCTTATGAGGTCTGCAACTTCCATAATGCCATTACATTTCTCAAAATCCTAATAAATCATATGCAAAAGAGATGCAGCTTTTAGAAATGACAGAGCAAGAATGTTCTATGCAGCAAACCTCAGACAAACTCTCAGCTAAGTATCAAGATGAAAGATTCTCTGACGTTTATTGGTAAGTCTACAAGTTAAGCCAATAACTCATTCCTTTTAGCTTCTTCAAACAAAAATAAAACCTCAGAAATAAGATTACTTCTCTTTTGAGTGTTTGGCATGCAGAAATCGTATATACCAAGATTTTAGAAATCATGAATCTAAGTATGAATTTGATCTGGAAAATTGAACACGGAGATCTTGAGTTCCTATATATTTGAGCCAATCTTGTATCTTAAACTCATGATACTTAGGAATTTAGGACTTTTTCATACCAAATTCCTTAGGTAAATCTCTGCCAAACACTAGTATTCATGTGTTCTGACCTTTGAAAAGATTAGTCCACACATTCAACTGATACTAAGACAAGAGAGTCCTACCGTTTGATTGGGCGGTGAATCCACGATTATAGAGATTACAGATCCAAACAGGCACCTTGCTCAAGCACTCCCCGAGTGGATAATATATTCATCAAAACCTGCAAAGGTAAAAGCAATTTGATTCCCTCTGTCCATGCATTTAGTCACAGTGCAATGTCCAAAACCGTATGAATATGATTTACATTTGCCTGCTATATGGGATAGAGTTATTTACATGCTTCCCTTTGGGCGTCTGCTTAATAACTCAAGCACACTCCTTGTTCAAAAGAACTGGAGGGTTTTATTATATTATTCTTAATGTTTTGATTTTACATCATTTGTGCATGTATACTTTGTTAGTTCTAATATCTTTTAAAGATCAAGGAGGTTCGTGACCCCTTTCTACATTCACTGGACTTGAGCCAAACCTTTTCCAAGAGTGAAAATTTCTTAAATGGTGATAACAGAGATTATAATAAACAATTGTTAGGCTCACTTAGTTTCGAGAAACATCACCAATCAGTTACATTCTGTGGAGTTAGGAAAGCATCCTTCTACTTCCTGAAAAGTAATATTTAAAGAGTGCCAAACTTTAATTAATGAAATCATAATAAAGTCATAGGATGATTATAGGATCACAATAAATGTCAGACTCCCTATTACTAGGGCAAATCTGTTAATGCCTGCCCAAATACAAAGGAAACAAGGACATCTGGACGGAAGACAGTAACTAATTTAAGTAGGGGGTCAGATGTACGTGGAGGCTTATGCATTGTTTTTGTATCGTCAATTGTATTAGCTATGAGAGTAAGAGAGCAAAGAAAGGAAAATAAAGACAAGGATAAACCTTCAGATTGGACTGTGAAGACCTCTAGCTTCTCAAAGTACTAGAGACTTTCCTTTTTTTTTTTTCCCAACTTGTTCTGCTATAGTTGTGTCCTTTGAGCTGGGTTTTTTTTTTTCACCGCCAATCAATGAATACAGGTTGTCTGAGTTTATCATTCAATGATGGAGTTGGTGCTTGCGGCACAATTTCTCTCTTCATAACTATTAGGGTACCATCAATTTCTTTTTCAGCAAAATATGATAATTCAATCCTGCTAGGCCACACATTTATTCTCTCTAAGAACGTAATGAAGGCACTCAAACAACAGTTGAATGCTAAGTTTTGGGAATGTTATAACCAGATCTAAAGTCTCAGTAAAAAGCGCTAAGTTTTGGGAATGTTATAACCAGATCTAAAGTCTCAGTAAAAAGCGTAAAGTGATTCTCTAACTCTAAGGAGGATAGTTGCTGGTGTTCCTTGTTTCAGAAAACCGTACTCCGGGGGGAAGCAAACAACATACAAGAAGAAGAAGAAGAAGAAGAAGAAGAAGAAGAAGAAGCCTTATCCCAATAGGTGGGGCTGGATACATAGGTTTATAATGTTATTATGCTTTATCAACAACCAAGCCTATGAAACAAACAACATACGAAATATGTTAAATCTACCCATACAAAAATGCATTGGTACCTGAATTGCCTTGTGTTGATGGGCGAGAGAGGTGCTCCGGGGGTGAAGCAAACAACAACCTTCCAAGACTCGTAGTGCCAATGCAGTTTCAGCATCAGTTGATGGACTTTGTTATCTTCATTGGTTCCACACCAAATATATGATTCAAATTTGCCACCCTATCGTCGTTGTAGTCATCTCCTGTCTCTTTTAGAGAGTGTTGAAAGAGCACTGGAACCACTGTGTAGACACAACCAGCTGAAATTCAAAACCGAACAGACTAAAAAAAGAGCAATCTCCCAATCAACACAACTTATATACCTTGAAGTTCAGGGATAGATTGGGTTTGGTTAAAGAGGTCAATAGTTGCATCAGATTCGGCCACATTCAAGAGGAACTTGAGAATAAAACGAAGTCCACAGACTCGAAGAAATGAGAACTCGGCACAAGCATCTCTGAGACCTGTTCTAAAAGTAGGAGTTACCTCCCTGTCTACTCTCTGTTGGTTAAGAGAGTTCACCAGCTCCCCTACTGCCGTGGAGGCCAGTGTATCTCCATCTGACTCCGTTGACTCTCCCTCCCGTTCGTGAAATTTACCACTCCACAATGGCTTCTTCAAATGCATCCCTATTATTGTCCTTCAATGTCGTCCAATTCTTGCACTTTATCTGACTATTTGCCCCAAGAAGACTACAACTTCTTCAAGATAGTAACACATAAATCCTGGTTATCTTCGTATTCTCATGTATTCAAATTGTTTCAGTTTTTCATCATTAAAAAAAAAAAATCAAACTATTCCAACTGACAGATTGAGCAACACAGTAAAGACATTCATAATTTCTGGAAACTGATGGCTCAAAATGGGTTCACGTTACGATACATTGAATTCCTATAGATGTTTAACATGGCAATTGCCATCAATTGCAGTTCCCGTATACACCCATTGGAGATTGTTCAGAATTAGGGATTATGAAAATCACAAAAGATTCTGAAGCTCAAAAATGAAACAAGGAGAGAGAGAGAGAGAGAGAGAGAAGAAGATGATGAGAGGAATGATTCTGATTAAGGACAGGGTGTCTCCGTCGCGTCATGCAGTTTTGAGACTCCCTCAGTGCTTACATCATTTCCTGTATTTTTTAAAGAATTACGGGCCATTTTTAAGTAATTTCTACGACAGTTAATATTAATAAAAAA